CCTCAAGGTGACAAAGAATGCTAGTAACCTTGCATGCAGAGCTGAGTTAGGAAGGTTTCCGCTAAAATGCAAAGCATGCAGTAGAAGCTTTAAATTCTGGTATAAAATTATAAAGTCGGAACTACACCCAAAAAAACTTTCAGCTGAAGTCTACAAAGATATTAAAAATGAAACTAAAAAAGCCTTTTGGAGCATAAAAATCAAAACTACTTTAGAACAACTCGGATTGGGGATAATTTGGATGAAACAAAATGAACTTTCTCCAAGATGGTATGAATATGGAAAAATAATAACCCAAAGAATATATGACATTGAGAGGCAAATTTTATGGAATAATCTCCACAATGATGAAAGGAAAGACGACAGACATAAAAATAAACTCAGTCTTTCGTCAGTTCAAAACGGATTATAACTTTGAAGAATATTTAAGTCAAGTCACCAATATTAAGCACAGAGTGGCGCTTACAAAATTAAGAATTAGYAACCATARGCTTGAAGTAGAAACGGGGAGGTATAAGAGGCCTTATCTCATTTACGATGAAAGGATTTGCCCAGTGTGTAAGTCGGGAGTAGAAATCGAAAAACACTTTCTAGTTTGGTGTCCACTATATGACTCTCATAGAAACGACTTAAGAGAGTTCATAGAAAAAAACACCAGCATTAATTTCAACAATATGAGCGCTGACAGTTGTTTTATGTTCTTAATCAATTCAAAATCAGCGTCTCTACAAAGAGCCATATCAGCATACATTCATCAATGTATGCTGATACGTGAAAATGAAATAAGAAAATTACCTAATACATAGTATATATATATATATATATATACCTATAATACATTTGGAATCAAACACTCATGTACTATTAAGTATAAGGTGCCAAATAAAATTGTATTGTATTGTATTGTAAATAAGCCTCCCGGGGGGCTAAATAAAGGATTTACGGTAATTCTTATGTTGGATACCATGCATGGCTAAAAGAGACAAGGTTTGAGCATTCGACTTTAATTCTTCCCCGAGGTTAATTAAATCTGTCGATCTCAATTGATTCAAACATTGCTCTTCTCGTGCACTAAATGTAAATAATTAGATTCGACAAAAGATCGACATCTGGACTGGGCCTTATACATTCTATAGAGGTTTTGCACCATCACGTGCCGGTGCCCATAGTATTGCTTGGGCTTCCTGTGGTTATATGGCATAACAATAAAATCTCTTTAGCTCTTGGGAATTGAATTCTTGGTAAAATGACTATTTTTACCACTAGTGCGAATTTTCAAGCTTTCTGATTTGGTCTAGAGCTAGGGAAGTATGAGGACATACCGATAAATTATGTCAGCAAATCACATGCATACTTATGTGCGAGTTTCTCCCCTCCCCTCCCCCCCCTCCCACCCCCCACCCCCCCAACCAACTACACACTTAATTATTTTCACAAGGCGAAGTGAACATCAGCGGCGATGAGCGACGATGTAAATATTCTACCGATATTGGCTGAGCCTGATGTGAATAATTGTTCTAGTATATACCAACTTATATACCAAAAGTAGATACAAATCTCACTTTATTTTTTCCCGCAAATCGGCCCACCCTCCCCACGACACAATCAACGATCGGTCCCAAACCACTCTCTAATTAGTTCGCAATTTCAGCCCCCCGGAGTAACGGAGCTCCTAATATGATAAACAAAAGCAGCTAAAAGCACAAAAAGGAAAACGCACTGGCTGAACATCGTATAAATATAATTCAGCTGTTGTGCGCACACAATTCGTCTTCAAAACTAGGTAAAATACTATAGTACACAAGAATTTTAGGGCTAAAGCGATAACCGAAGACATCAAACACTTCATCGTTATAAATCTAAAGATCTAATAAGGCTTAAAACATTGCTTACCTCGTAAATTACGACTACTAAGTTGTATCAACTTCTCCAGTTGTGATGGACGCCATTTTTTGAGGCCGCAAAGGACATCGGGATCATTGTATTGGAGGTTAATGAATGGTTCAAGGGACTTTGGAGCCCGAGGATCGACAGGAACAAAACAAGCTAAAGTTATGTTCATATTCATAATGTTTTGTTTATTTCATAACTTGAGTATTACTCTTAGTTTACATGAGTGTGTTTTTTAAGCTTATGTCTTAATCAATTCAAGTTATTACACTTGTTTAATATTTCCTTATCAAGTTTCAAACACACTTGTAATGAACCTCGATGTACTTATGGGTCCACGGACAGGGATCACCAAAGGAATTGTTTGTAGCGTACAAACGGCAGGAGTTATGACCATTACAAGCACCGCGAATCTTCCTCTTGGCATAGCTCGAGTGGCAGTTGGTATTGGACATAAACAACAAGTGCCAGCAGACGTTCCTACTTGTTCTGCCGTAGTTGGCGTAAAGGATGCGTAGACGCTTGTTGCCGGGACAGCCAAGAACTCCATTTTGGCCTTCACACAAGATATACGTATCTATAGAATAATATGTAGAAGATATCGTAAATAACATTGTGAACAAAAAAAACGTGAAAAAAACTCGTGCCTCGGCTCCTGTTCAATTCCCAATTTTTTTAAAAAAAACTTACGCGTTGACTGACGACGTTGAACTGTACATGTATGAAAGAGAAAGAAACAATAATGAGAGTGAATTACATTTAAAAAAGACATAGAAAAAAATAATATTTGAAGCCCGGGTTAAGCAATGAAGATAGAAAAAAGGCTGATTTACCCTGTCGCATGCATACAACGTACGTGAAGTCTACGACTCGCTACAACTACCCACAACTACCTAAGTTGTGAGCAAGTTGAATGCGACAGTAAGTAAAGCAAAGCAAAAGTTGTGCAGCATAAAATCAACCTGAAGAAATGCGAAAATACAAGACAAGTAAGCAGAATGTGTACAAAATGAATGAAAAAGGGGACCCATACTTGCAAAACCATTCTGGTCTGAAGCAACTACTTCGCCAGCATCTTGAGCTTTGTCTTTACTTGGTGCTGCACAAGTGAGGCCAAGCAGGCCAAGCAGGAACAGCAGGGCGATGGTGAACGACTTCATGGTTTGTCTGCAACAGATAAATCAAGTTTCCCGGTATTTGACCGCTCGTGTATACAGTATCTAGTAGTCTAGATATGTGTGGTTTCTATCAAATGAGCAACTGATAAGTAGTATTCACAGAGTTCAAACGTCACAACAACTATAACACGTTTAATCTCGAAAATACAAAGCAATGACTAAATAGTCTTCTTTTTTTAAGTATTCACTTGGAGTTGCTGACTTCTAGACAATTGATCTATGAATAATAAGTCTTTTAATTAAAAATCAGAGACGAAGTCAACAACAGACAAAAGATAACATGTTAAAATAAATCAAAATGAATAGTCTTCAATACTTATACTTATATTTACAACCACCACTCCCCATGCGGGGCTCTTCCGTGAGGTTCCTTCCACACACACTACCACTACATTCTATATTTACAACATACAACACTCAAATCACATGTTGCTTTTTACGGAGGGAGGAAACCGGAGATCCCGGAGAAAACCCTCGTGGCAAGGGAGAGAACAACACAACGAACAAACTCAACTGTGAGAGTGGTGAGAGGTGGTGAGAGGCGAGCGGTAAACCATTACGCCACCCATGCCACCAATTCAGTATCAACTTCGAGTTACCGACTTCAAGACAATTTTTTTTTAAATCATGCACATTGAACCAATGAATTGTAATTAACAAACAACCTAGTAATTCAGAGCGAACTTTGGACAACTTTATTCTCGCTCGCTTTGCAAAACTAGTGCGTCAACTTTTCATATAATGTGCTTTGATTATCCTAGATTCTAACAGTTTATTTTATTTTAAGATTTCTAAAGTGCTTAGCCTATTACAACCGAAAATCAAACAGTGCTATTTTTAGTTTTTGGCTTTTTTCTCCTCATCCTCAGGTACGATTTTTCTGTAATTTTCAGAATCTTATCATCAAGTACTAATGCAGCCCTTGCATAAATTTGGATGGAAAGTCTAGGGCAGAAAAACAATTATGACGCCGCTTGAAAATTCGATCCAAAATTTGAAGCATATGAAACATCGCACTGTAGAAACATTACCATCGAAAAGGGAAGTTAATAATGTTGCTAAGCTATAACGATGGAATATCCAAACTTTTTTTCCTGTTTTTCCAAACGATGAATATCGTATGAAAGCATTTAAACAAAATTTCATTGCCTTTTACTGTGACATTAGTTACTTATGTTACTATATACGTTTTGGAGCTTCAAGGTTCCTAAATTGGAATCCAATATCTTGAATTCTGGAGAGGTAGTTACTCTAAAGTTTATAGCACACATGTTACTTTTTTATTCAAGAACTTATTATTTTTACTTTAAGCGCACTACCTTTTGGAATCATTGGAATTCATTAAATGCCTTCGTAAATATTTTATAACTTATGACTTAACTTTAATGACTTATTTCATCAGTTCACAAATCAAAGAAAGTCAATAGAAAGTTAGTATAAGATCGAAAGTATAATGTGTATTGATGGGTTGCAAGTATTCCCAAGAGAGTTAAAAGACAAAAACATGGCGGCCATTGTGGTACCGTTAACAATGGATGCTAAGAAATCTTTTGTTAAATGGTACCAACATGGCCGCTATGACGTAATGTGCAAACGAAGAATTTAGTATATTAATCGCAAATTATCATCAGTGTGTTATGGCATTATGCTGAAGACTAATCAGAAGAATGTACGGGCCAAATAATACTTTATTTAACGAGGGTAGAAATAGATTAGGAACCGTTCATTATCTAACTGGGGGAGGGGGCTTGGTGAGAAATTGGAAAAGGCACCCATTTTCTTAGGGGGCCCCCAACAGAGAAAGTGATCTTTTTCAAGACCCCCCTTCACTAGCTTTAGACCTTCACCTGAAATTTCAAGTCCCCTCCCTTAAATCCATAAAAAAAATTCCAGGGCCCCTCCTTTTGTACATGAAAAATTTTCGAGGCCCCTCCTTTTTTCACCTAGCCCCACCCATTTTGTAAAGGAAGAATTATTAATATAAATCTATTCATAGGAGAAAAAACTCTTGTGGCTCAGTGAAGGCCAGAGAGTCTGACATAAGATAGGAATAGGAAAACAACAAGAAGCCGAAATGTCAAAGTGTAAATAAGGAATTAATGATAATTAATCCATAAGTAGAGAAAAACCAGTTGTGGCTCAGTTAACGCCAAAGAGTCTGACATAAGATAGGAATAGGATAAACAACAAGAAACCAAAAATGTCAAAGATAATGGAACATGGACAAATAAATGACTGACATTTCGGTAGATAGAAGGAGCAGCAACAGGATTTGTGGCTACAATTTTTAAGCTTAGATTTTGTTGTCTAAGTAACGATAGGAGGTGCTTGCCCCAAATCTCAACTGAATATTAAGTAACTGGGCACTGTCAGTAATGGACTAATAGCCCCACTTTGTAACAGTCAAATCTCAATTAATTTCGATTAACCACTAATTCTTATTCCAGTAACTGTTACAAAACTACCTAGTCTAGCGACGGTTAAGTTGCTGAATACATGTGTGTGCATCCTGGTTGGTTTCTTGTAATAATAGAAAATGTCTTACATCTGAATTCTCCATAGTGAATTGCAAAAAGGTTATTCCTAAAAATATCTCAAAAATATGCACCTTATGGGTGCAAAAAAGGCCGCCCATGCTAATAAATTCTAAGTAAATTTAGTATTCAGATTTTTCAAATACACCAGATTTATTTATTTCTGCATGCACCAAGTCAATATACTGCAAACATAAATGTCCCCTAGTGATCTTCAAGACACTACATTAGTTATTCAAATAACAGGGAGTGTTTGATTGAATGACTTATAGATCTTAGATGTTTATCTTTTGACTGCAGGGTCTTATAACCTGAATGGTAATCGTACAAGTCTTGTCTAGGCTGACTTACCAATAATGTCTTCTGACAGGATGTTACTGGGGCAAATGAAGCACCCAACATGATGACATCTACAACTGTGGGGATCTGTGGGGTCAAAACAAAGGCATTTTTAAACATATTGCTACGATTCTTGAAAGATTAGGCAAGATTAAAGTCTTGACAAATACTGACAAGATCTTGCCTAAACCTGGAAGACCTTGCAAGAAATAGATCCTGCAAGCTCTTGATCAAGTCCTCTAAGATCTTTTAAGATCTTGTAACTAGACATTGACAGGATTGTTTAAAAAATCTTGGGTCTTATTGCCAAGATCATGGCACAACTTTTTTATTTTTTCATTTTTAGTAAAAAGAGCATCCTTGGAAGTAACCTTTACACACAATAAAAGTCTGAAGTACTTTAAGCCACTGGCTTATCATGAAGGCTCTTTACTAATAACCTATCTATAGTATTTATGAGAAAGAGCACAGGGAATTGGATGCATGGATACCCATGATAGACAATGTTACATTTATTATTATAGATCTATATATTATTATCATTTAATACAACTCACACAAAGAATCTCATTCTCAACCGAATGACCCATAGTCTGAAATGGGAGAACATTGTATGCCCAAGTAAAAAGGATATATTGTTTGCTGTGCTGTATGTCAGGGCTTAAAATAACAGTAATTAAGTTGCCGATCATGAAGATTGAACAAATACGTTTTAGCTTGGTCATACCTCATTTTTGGCTAAACATTATTAGTTGAAACAACCAGCAAGGCAAAGATTTCACCAGACAAGTTGCAATTCTGAGTGGACATTGTCCGATGTCTGGCTGGTATTTGAAGCCCTGGTACATGTGATCTTATTGAGCTCTTAGAGATTAGCAGAAACTTGAGAAGTGTTGAGAAGCACTCCACTACTTACTATCTTGTGTTCTGGCAATTTACTGCATGCTTATATACGACTTCAAGTTTTCTATTTTTCCATAAAAAAATTCAATTATGACTAAGGAACACACCAACCAACATTGGAGACCTAAACTTGCTAGTGTTCCTCCGAACTGCTGGATAAGAGACCTTTGTAGTCTTCATTAAAGCTGAAACTCTGAAGAAAAATTGGAGAAAATTCAGACTACTTTGATAGAGTTAACACTTGATAAATTCCCACTTGATTCGATTTGTGAGTTACTGTTACTTGACTCGGGGTTGGAAGAAATTTGATGTTTGTAGTATAGATAGGAATCGCCACTTCATGGGATGAAAATACCTCTGGCATGTTTGTGTTGAGTTCCTGGACTCGTTAGTGAAGTTTGTTAGGCTTCTTCCTTTATTCGAAGATTTTTCTCCAGGTTCTTCGGTTTCCCCCCTCCACAAAACCCTGGCTTTGGTCAACTTTGAGGTTTTTCATGTAGGGTATTGACAAGATTTGAATTTAAAATATGACGCATATATCCCTCACGCGAGTATTCACAGTATTTCCYACCGAATCTAGCCAGTTATACAATCAATTGTCCTCATTACCTTGATTGGTAATAAATACTTCTGTAATAGGCGATCACAAGAAGTGTGTCCTAAAGCTTCTAGTACACATACGTTCTTGGTTATTTCTTTATAGGTATTAGCGTTTACTGCTAATAAATAGTTGATCTCAGTGTCAACGATGGTCAAAACTCGCAAATCTTCATCGGAGATCTCCTTCATGTAATGGGCTCCCACGTACTGATCAATGTAAATCCCCTCCACTTGTTGCGACTCCAGCGCTTCGTACATTTCTTGGAATGAACCGTATTCTATAATGCAAAGTTACTAGTCAGTTGAAGGTGCATTAATGATCCCACAAAGAAAAGAAAGCCAACTACAAGTACAGTTTATACTTAACGGCCTCAAATGTATGTATGTAGGTGGACGCAGTAGTGTTTATATAGTGTTTTAGGATTATTCCCACATGGAAAGAATTGAGCCATAGTTTAAATAAAATGATCTTTGCACCTACTTTAAGATCTCATATGTAAAATGCAAGGTACTGTTGGCTAGTAAGGGTTATGAATCTTTAAAAATCCGACATGTAAATTGGAACATAGTTTAAAGAACAAAGGGGGAAAAGTTCTGCAATTTCTGTTGTCTGCTTCAAACTTTCAGCACATCGAGCTTTGTTGAATACGCTCTAAGAATGTCATATTCTCATTATTATTATCATCATCATCAGCATCATCAGCATTATCAGTTTTGCGCAAAGGCCAATGTTCGTCAGGTCGGAATTCCAAAACGATCAGTTATAGATCTGCGCACAAATGGAATTGATAATTGGTAATTTTTTCTGGGAACGAGCAAATGAAAACCACGTGGTTGTAATGTTAGCCAATCAAAAATCATTCGTAGTCCGATTCTTCTATAGTGCGTTGTGTTGCCACAGACCGAAAGCAACAGTGGACCCTCCTCAAAAGTATCGTGGATGCAAGTCTAACATGAAAATACAAAAGAAATCACACTTTTTCTCGATGGAATTTGTAACATTTCTTTGTATTTACATGTTAGCCTCGGATCCAAGATAAATTTGAGAAGGGCCCATTTATCACTTTGAGTAGTCATTACTATCTGCATACCTATGGGCTGAGTTCCTTTGTTTATCGCGTCAATTGATGCTCCAGTAGATGACAAGACAGCAACCTACATCAGTAAATGAATCATCAGATATAATTAACATCTATGTACAGAACAAATTACTACTGATTACTACTTTGATGAGAAAATATCCTAGAATTGTGTAACAGTAACTTGAAAGTGACTCAAAGACAGTTTCCATGTCAATAATAGTGAATGGGTGTCAATATTTATTTTCTTCTAGTGATTAGTTTACGTAGAACCCATTTAAGAGCCAAACATTAAAGAACCGCTTTAAATCTCGCGTTATGATTGGTTAGGAAGCGCGTGCATTATGAGAACAAACAACACGCGCGCACTTTTTATTTCGTCACTCGTGTCCAAAATAAGAAAGAAATTTTAAAAACTTGTTTTCTGTGCATGAAGGTATAAAGCACTTAAGCATTGGGAGAAACCACTCCATGTCGTGCTTCTCCTAAAACTTCTCTCGTGTTCTGCCAATCACCACGTGTTTTATAACCGCACACAGCACGCGCACGCGTTTTTTATTTCTTCAATACTATACGTCTGTCTTGGCCAAAGTTTTAATTCATTCCGCAAAGATTTGAAATGATTTCTCTGATCGAAGCAAATGGTGCGTGGCTAAACCAATCCCAGTTTAATTTGGTTGAGTATTTTAAGTGGATAGGCACTCATAGATATGAATACCTTTTTGTTTTCAATGCCTGAGTTAATCAAAGTCAAGGCGTTGGTTACTGTAGCTGTGAACATGGCTACAATCACGATACCGACTAGTATCCAGATCACACCAAATACACGGCCAAATATGGACTTGGGGGTCTTGTCTCCATACCTATTTGTAAATTCAAATAAGATTTAATTCATATACTACTATTACTATTAACAGTATAATGAATGAGTCAAGTGCTCTTACCCTACTGTTGTCATGGAAACAAATGCCCACCAAAAGCCTTCCCACCAACCCTTTAAGAAGGTTCTTTGAAACTCGTCACTGTTACCACGCGATTCCTTGAAGATAAATCATTATCGTGACTAGATACGCATGAAGAAAATATCAGCTTACATTACCAATAATAGACCATAAGGGAAGCGAGGGACCAGCAAGGGAAGTGAGGGACCATCAAGGGAAGTGAGGGACCATCAAGGGAAGTGAGGACCATCAAGGGAAGTGAGGGACCAGCAAGGGACGCGAGGGACCAGCAAGGAAAGTGAAGGACCATCAAGGGAAGTGAGGGACCATCAAGGGAAGTGAGGGACCATCAAGGGAAGTAATGGTACCATCAAGAAAAGTGAAGGACCATCAAGGGATGTGAGGGACCATCAAGAGAAGTGAGGGACCATCAAGGGAAGTGAGGGACCATCAAAAGTACTCACCAAAATCCAGATACAGACTCCTGATAAGCCAGCCAATATAAAAGTGTAAACGAATATCGGCCAAGTATCCAATAACGCTTGCAGCATTAATTCCATTGACTTTTGATTAAAATGGTTTTTATTTATTATCAGGGCGCGACTGCTTGTTTTGACGATAGGGTTAAAGCTGAGCGGTGTTCCTGTGTAATCAGGCCAGCTCAAACTGTTCACTAATCTTGATGTGATGGGCAAAATGATGTCACTTTGACCAGAAGTGATCTCTTGTTCCAGCTCATTTGAAGTGTTGACAACCTCATGGGGAAAAATACGTCTTTGAGATACAAAACTTTGGTGTGTTTGAGGACACTGACTCCCTTACATAGCTGCGCGTTACTTCACATTATATCATGATCACATCACATCACATTACGTCACGTCACGTCACGTCACGTCACGTCAAGTCACGACATGTCACGTCACGTCAATACCTGAATTAATAATACATACCTTCCATGTTATATTCAAGGGACTTGGACAACTATGATAGCACATTTTGAAGCTGAATAACAGGCAGTCGACTATAATCCCATTGGTCCCTTGATTGTCTTTGACACGACCATTAGTATTGTAAAAGACATAAGGGGGGCTGTACATCAGTGCTATCGTAATTCCTCCTATCTTATCAGGGCATTCTTGATTGTGCTTGTTACCACTGACGTGGCTGCTTGATGACGGTGATGATGGTGATGGTGTTGTTGTTGATGATGATGATGATGGTGATGGTGGTGGTGATGTTGATGATGTTGATGGTGATGGTGATGACGATGGTGATGACGATGGTGATGATTGTGATGATGGTGATGATGATGACGATGGTGATGGTGGTGATGGTGGTGGTGATGATGATGATGATGACGATGGTGATGGTGGTGATGGTGGTGGTGATGATGATGATGATGACGATGAAACTTCAACCAGCGGAAATTCGTTAACCAGCATCCATATGACCACATGCAACCAGACGGACATCATCGTTGATTTGTTCATCTATAAAAAAATAAGTTTGCTAATGAATAGATAGAATCCTATTGAAACAAATTCTTTCTGCAATGTAGATGAAGGGAAAAGTTGCAAAAACATACCGAAAGAGTAACTCACGCAGGTCACGAATTTTTAAGAGTCCTTTACTATCAATCTATCAAGTTTCAATACCCTCTATGTTATAATATTTTAGGTTCTTGATACTTTCTCTTGATTATTTTGAACCGACGGTCAAAGTGCGGCGTGCATACTTCACATAACCCATAACCCCATACTTCCCCTACATGGTTCGGACCCCCCACACACTGACACTCTTGGAGGCGACTGTTGCGTAACAATAGCAAGTACTTTTCCAATAATTGATTAACTTTAAGAGAGAATTCTTTTCGTATTCAAGCAGTGAGCGCCAAAAACTATTTTCTTGAAGAAAGGCTGTCGTACAAGGCTAAAATCTTGTTATTCAAAAAGTTTAACTTAATTGTTTGGAAGTGGAGATGACCGATGAAAGTGGAATCAAAATGTTAACCCAAAGCAAAAATTTTATTCGAAAATGAGGTTTAGGCCTAATTCATTTGCTTATTTCCCATATATTTTCTATAAAAAAAAGCCTGACAAAGCAACATTCTAACACAAATGCAACAAAACATCTTTGTACAATTGAAAATACCGCTTCAAACAGGCATTTTATCATAGTACATCAGTTTCTAACTGTTTAAAAAAGGTTTTGAGTGTTACCCCAAAACAAAGATTGGTATCAAAACTCATACGAAGGTCTAGCTTTTGGGGCTTCTTGCCATTATTGCTCATTATTGAAAAACATTTCCTCTTAATTAATTGGGAAAGATAAAAGGAAACCGAATTTTATCGATACCCGAATGATAGAAACCTCTGGATTGAATTGGAGGTTTAGATTGGGTAAGTTTTTGCAGAGGGAAGAAAAAACGGTGAATCCAGCGAAACACCCATACAACAAGGCAGGACCTCACATTTGATGCCGAGTCCATGCATGAATCGAACACACGAAAGTGGATACAAATACATAAAGATTCCATTCTAAAGAAACTATTTTCATAATTGCAATAAAAATTTCTTTTTGTATCAACCTTTTTGCTGCAATTATCTAGAAATACTGTTGTTTCGCACAAGCATCATTACTTAACGGTACAACGTGAAACGCCCAAAGAAAATTGGAAAGTTACCAGAAAGACCTATTTTAATTTTGCACAGTGTATAGTTTTTAATTTGATGCGCCTTTTTGAGTGACATTAATGAGATTCTAACCTGGATAATTTCAGTATCTGACAATGTGTTTCATTCTTATCTCAAGGCAAATACTTTTTTTTACATGCATGAAGATCTAGTCAAGTACGTAAATAGCTAAACTTCAAATCAGTCTAGTAAGCGACACAGCTTTAATTGCCTCTAATTTTTCCTTTTTGAAAACGAAGACGGTTAAATGATTAATTTCGAAACAAGCTATAAAATACTGAACTTTATCTATAAATACACTGAAAAAGTCATATTTTCCCTTATCAAAATCTTTACCTTTCTCAAATCCTTCATTTTTTTCCCTTTTCTTTTTCCAAACGTTTCTTTGCTTTCTCTTTTTTCAGTTCGCCTTAGTTAGTTCCCACTAATAACGGCAAGGCATCTGCTCTTTTTTTAATTAACTCAAGCATGGCACCAGCTGCAGAATAAACATAAATTAAATTAAGTTTGTTCACTTTTTTATGATTAACAGCCAACGAACTTACAGTCAAAATGTTTAATATCGATCGTCGATTTGAGGGATTTTTATTGAATTAAGACATTAAAAATATAACAGAAAACTGAAATAAGGAAAAAGATGACTTACCTTTCCTTATGCAGTGGAAAATACTTTTTTGGAACGACCAATAATTAAGCTTGGGGGTGCCGTCACGTCAAGGCCCACATCTGAACCGCACATTCATAATCATAAAGAAAAAACTAAGTATGTAATTAAGCTAGATAGCCACCCGCCGTCTTATTAAGAGAGATGATAGACCAACAGGCTTCGTTAGGCATTCGTTTAGGCGTTCTTCTTTTTAAACTGTCGTACACAGTATGACAACCTGCTGTGGCTTAAAGGATGATCTCCTTTACTTTCCTAGATATCTTCAAGCTAATCTTATATATTGAGACCTTTTTTCTTTGTGACACCGACCAGCTCATCGTTTATCAACATTTAAATTCTTATTTATTTCTATCAGTTTAACAGGATCCCGTTCAGCCTAAAGCTAATTTAAATGTAGTTCAGTATTAAAAAAATACGATTACAAAATTAATAGAATTGAATTCATTTAGCATGACGATTTAAAAACAAAGTTTGAACGCTGTGAATGGTCTAATAAGTGTCGGCAGCTGCGTTTTGTGACCGTGCCGTGTCAGTGCAGTTTTCAGTGGCATCAGTAGTATCAGTGGCCAACGATTCGGCAAAATGGTGCGCAAACAAGAAACACAAGAAAAAAAAAAAAAAACCAATCAACGTTTATCGTTGTTTTCTCCTGTATCTTTTCACATAGTCATGCAGGTGGCCTCTTTACCGCCTCTTTATCCATAAAAGTGAGCACAGATCTGAACAAAGTTTTTTTTAAGAACACCAATTAAGGATCAACGTGATAAGTTAAAAATACTAGGAACCCTTGGCCTTGAAGATAAATTGCAAATGAGAGTAAAGAAACAAAAGGTAACATACGGTATGGTTAGAGTACAACTACAAATTTGCGGCATTGCTTAACACTCATACGAAAAACGTTCTAATCTATTGATTTTTTTACAAACTAGTACAACATAACGCGATGTCTATTGTTATCAGTGATATATTGTATAGGTTAGAGCAGGTTATATAGCATTGTTATCAGTGCTATATTGTATAGGTTAGAGTAGGTTATATAGCATTGTTATCAGTGTTATATTGTATTGGTTAGAGCAGGTTATATAGCATTGTTACAGTGCTATATTGTATTGGTTAGAGCAGGTTATTCTACATAAACGACAAATGATTATTTAACAACTTTTATAAAATAACTGTTATGAATCTCGAGTTCTGATTGGTTGGGAGAGCGTGCTTTATAAGAGCATACAGCACGCGCGCGCATTTTTGGTAGCGTCCTTCCTATCTATAATAACGGTTATTGTAATTTGTATTTTATAAAAGAAATAAAAAAACTTGCTTGCTGTGCTGTTGAGTTATATAACTGCACACAGCACGCGCGCGCGTTTTCTATTTCTTCAATTATGCACTCGCAATAAGAACACCAGCACTCAAGTGAGAATGTGCAAACCAGAATTCAATGCGCGCTGTAATATTTTCGAAGATGTGCGAGCGCTATCAAAAGTAGCGCGTGCTCAGATTCGAAAAAGGACCGCTATTTTCGGGCAAGATCTTACGCGCGCTATGGAAAACACATACAAAACTTTATTTTATTTTACTTCTACAAACATACAGCAATGTTTTCAATGGCTTCCAAAGGATTAGGAATTAACACTGCCTGAAAATACCTCGTTTTCATGTCTGCGCCTGCGATATTTATGAAAGCGCTCGCGCATGTCTGAAAATTAAATCCTCTGTTGTGACGTAAATAAACTCAAAGACAAAATAGGTTAATAGAAAAACGAAGTGGAATAGTAGCAGAAACGTTTATCGACAATGAGTGAAGACGAAAAGGCGGATGAAGGAGGAGAGAGGAAGGGAGGTAAAGATGGGAGCACATATCCAGGGGAAGGTATTCGGATGTCTGTATATGGATTAAAAACCTACACCGCTGAACAGGAAAAGGAGCAGTGGAGAGAGAATGTCAGGGTAGGTTGGGTTGATCAAAGTCAGAGCAAGGTTATCTCATAGATCGAGTTGGAATTTAGCTTGTTGGGATTGGCATAAGGAGGACAAGCGGAGAAAAAACCCAAATGAGTGACCTGGGAAGCATGTGTTGCGTAGCGGTGAGAGCGCTCGGCTCAAACCGATGCGACCCGGCGGGTTCGAGTCCCGACGAGCTCGGTGTCGTATGTGAGTTGAGTTGTTGGTTGGTTCTCTCCTGTGCTTCGAGGGTTTTCCGGGTTCTCCGGCTTTCTTCCCTCCGCAAAAATCAACTTCTAGAATTCCAATTGGAATCGAGTGGAAGAAGAGCCACTCTGTGGAATCCACTGTTAATCCCATTATTATTTATTATTATTAACAAACTCTGCTCACGTGAGATGCTGCATCCTGCATATTTTTATACTCTTAACCGTTAACTAATAACTCGAATAAGTATCCCCATGATACAACGATTCGAGATCCTTTCTTATTGTCGTTTGTGCTGAATGTCATTACAGCGTGAGTTTAGGATCAACAAGAACCACTTCATTAACTCAGGCAAAAGTGCTGATGTATGCAATACATGGAAAGTCAATTTCAGTCGTTATTTCAAGGGTGAACAACCTCTACAAAACATCAGTTATTTCAATACAGGAAAAAAGGTAAGACTTTTGCATCAGAAATGACTCGATTTGCCGTTTACTTTAAAGCTCCGCCATGGTAGTCACCTTCCTATACGCGCTCTGATTGGCCGAGAATTGTGATTTATTAGAAAACGGAGTATGGTAGCTGAAACCATTCGCGCGCGTAGAGTGCCTTGCAAAGAAAAACTGCATTGTGTAAGAAAAAAGCAATGGAAACTACAACGGATTCTTTCTAAATCATAAGTTACATAAAACAGCTTTTTCTGTGCTTCATTAAGGATAAAGCACGCAGGCAGCGTTGAACGCACGAAAGAAGTGCAAAGAAACACAGGAGCCGTAACAAAGGCTTGAAGAATTATTAGTAGCGCAACTAACATTACAGCTATCTAACACGTACTATATACCTTAATAAACTAAAGGGTGACACCTTACACTACCACTAACGAATAACACCTATCAGGTGCGCAACCAACATTACATCTATCTAACACTATATACCTTAATCAACTAAAGGATGACACCTTACACTAACACTAACGAATAACACCTATCAGGTGCGCAACCAACATTACAGCTATCTAACATCATATACCTTAATCAACTAAAGGATGACACCTTACACTAACACTAACGAATAACACCTATCAGGTGCGCATACAACATTACAGCTATCTAACATTCATAGAAGTTTACATGACGCCAACCATGTGCGATGGTAGAAACAATACGATCGTTTTACTAGAAATATTTCAACTTCCCAGAGTAAAGGGATATTGTCGTTCTGCCATCTAACATGGCTTCTTGGACGTAATCATGCAAAACCTCTATAGTTTGATAACTCAAGTATAAGTGACCCCATGTCTTTTATTATTTAGAGCAAGGCCTTATCGATTTATGATAGGACATTCCACATCGAGGAAGGATATTGTAGTAAACTGCGCCGTGATGATCGACAACACAGCTTTGCACTAGATATCTATTCAGAGGTAGGTTAAAATAACAACGCGCCTTACGCCTCACAAGCATATTTATAAGTTTCTTATGGAAATTCTTATGCCGTAAACTGGATTAGAAAGAATTGGAACTTGGTTTTTCGGAAAAGAGGGGTGCTCCGTTAATACAATACAAGCAAATGATGGTACTTTTCAATTAGAGCAGTTTTCGCATGACTGTGAAAAGCTCACGGCACGAACACGTTCTTGACACGGCAAGGGATACGCCAGACCAATCACATTGCTCGAGATTTCACTCTCCATCCAATCAAATACCCAGAACACGGCATAAACACGGCGCGGACGCGGTCACGCCAAAGTCACGGCACTTGCGGACCAATCACATTGCGCGAGAAAAAAATCAGCCAATCAAAATTCTAGAAAACATCACGGTCGCAGCAAGGCACGCATACGGCACCGACGTTTTCACAGTCATACGAAAGCTTTTCAAAGCCTAGTGGTGCTTACCATGTACTTAAGTATCTAAATGTTACCCATAGGAATGCAAAAAAGACGTACCAACACTTACATCATCCCAGTATGGTCGACGTCCCGCACTCGAAACACCATCACGAAAACACTGTCGAGTATTGACGGTAAAGAGAGACTTCTACCGGGAAAGCGGTGCACATATCATGGGGAAATTATCCATGTTAAAATAATAACGATGTTAAAAAAACTCTTTATTGTTGTCAGCACACGTTTGGCTTATGTCAAGAGCTAAAAAATAAAATTATTGCTAGAAAATTGTAGCTAAGGTTTTTTGTTTGCAGACAAGCAAGATAAGGTTTTCATTATAGGGATTTGCCATCGCGGACAAGATCAAGCTAGATTTTAAGTAAAAAATACTGGTAAAAGCGCGCAAACGATAAGATTATCTCGATTATTATTATCATTATTTTAATAATCATACTTTGATTTTGTTAAATATTATTTAAAAAAGATGAAAAATAATTTGAACACTTTTTAATAGAAGCGCGCTAAAGCTCTTGATACTTGTTGCTAAAAATTAAGTCAAATTGAAAGAATCTAGACTCGAAATTCCTGCCCCGATCCAAATTAATTGCCCTATTTCACTATGACGTCACTGCTTGTTTATGTGGGGGATAGAATCGCCAAATCCAATAGAAAATTCAACAAAATTTGCTCCTAGCGAAACAGTTTAATCTAAAATGGCCTGATATATAATATGTGTTAATATTAAAAAATATTCTGAGCATTTGCTGGCTATTCTACTTCTCTTCGTGGATTGATAAGGGTTTTAGAACAATTTTCAGTGAATTTGCGTTGATTTGCCCCCCTCCGACAACCATGATCCTTTGCGTTTAAACAATAGATTGTTTTGATGTGATGTCATAGTGAAATAGGGCAATTGATTTGCCGGGTTAGAGTGAGTGAGCTAGCCATTTATATTGAAGGGGTGCGTAGCTTTTTGTATCGCATTAGATTATGTCAAGTTGTTTGGGCGTAATATCGAATTCCTATTTCAGAGCCCTTCTTATTCTGTTGAGTATTTATCTCGCTTCTAGTAGCAATTTAGATTGAATATCATTGTGGAAAATGCTTCTGAGAGACACGTGAAAATATTAGACTTACAACCCAAACGAGTTCCATCACAATACTGATTTGTTAAAACCATGTAAAGTTTAAATAAAAACTATGTAAATTTGATGTATGACACATGAAATTTCTGAATCTTGTATTCATGCATGATCAAATAAATAAATAAAGTAGATTCGAATAGGAATGCTGAATCAAATAAATGAATAAAATAGAGTCGAATTGGAATGCTGAATCAAATAAATGAATAAAAGAACCAGAATAAGTGTACTGTGCAAGTCATCTGTTGGGATCTACTTTGATGTTCTCTTTCGTATTCGTTGACATTTTGGACAAGAATCCTTTTTGAAACACAATCTAATGAGAATTGGAATGGAAAAATAGATGAGAATAAAGAAAAGAGGAAAATCTAGACGTTTTCCCACACTTTCTTGACTTACATAGGTATGAACAGTCCCCCCCTCCACTAAATGCTTAATGCTGTAAAGTCTATTGCTTCTCGAGTAGTCGCGGTAAATTATTGAAGCTGCAGGTGCATGTGGCGCCTTGCAACCGTTATCATTATTTTTTTAAACAATGTATAGATAGGTTATTCGATAACAGAACTATTTTAGCGTGTATCCTTTTCATAAGAGAGAGAGAGAGAGGGGAGGGGGGAGAAATGGCACTGGTTGAAATGATAAAAGAAACCAAAACCCGATGCTTTGTTCAAGTCAACCAACATAGCGGCTATGACGCCGTATATTTACACTAAAAATAGCACATATTGCAGGTATATATATACATGAGCATTAAAGAAGTTAAACAGATCGAGCTTTCCATTGATACCCTACCATTATCATATAGAGAATGAAAATTTTTCTTGTGGAACAAGCATATTGCAAGCCCATATGTGCGCAAAGACAAAGGGGTAATGGTAATGTATTGTATGTGATATATGAGATTTACCCACTACTGACGCTTACTTGTGGAACAAGCATA